AGCTTGGGTGAGCTCTCTTACATTCCTGTTTTGTCACTCTCGAGAACTGTCCCAGGCTATCATCTGAGAACTTTCATGTCTTGAAGATGAATTTGCCTTTTTCTAATTCTTGAACTCTCTGGTAGTTCAAAATTTGCTTTCTTGCCCTTGGTTTATGTAAGAATGTTCTCTATCTGTCTGAATTTAAAATAAAGCTGCATTCCTTAAATGTTATCGAAATAGTGTGATCAAATAATTTGATTGTGACCTATTCGTCCACCTAAAATTTGTCATCTTTTTTATAAGACTAAGTGAAACTCAATAGCTGTTGCAAAAGAGCAAAAATAAGTTGTTTTTTTTTTTTTTTTTTTTTAGTAAAAGCAAAGATGGACTAATGACTCTCCTGTAATTCTCCATCCGATGCAGGCACTCACATATGGAGGGAGAACTTCTGTGTGCCCACAGGGCAGTTGGAAACCCTCAGAACTTGCAGTACTTTTTATTTTCTTTGCTCTTTAAATACTGACTAGGCATATACACACTGATTCTGAAATCAGAACTTTGACTCACAGAGAGTATAAATTTAATCCATCCTCAGTGAAGATAATGAGTGTTCACTGAGTTACACCCACCACCTGGGCTGAATCAGGCTGTAACACCACTGGCACTGGGACAATTATGTAAGGAGTTTAAGTTTGTGTACATGGTGGTGGATGTGTAGGTGGCATTATCTGTGGTCTTCAGAAGCCCAGTTGAACTTCCACTGAATTTAGCTGAGGCTTTTTTTCTCTGTCATGGTGAGAGGGAAGATTTAGCCCCTGTTTAGCAATAGACTTAGATTCCCCTTTTTAACTTTTGGGTGAAAGCTCTGTTGGGTTTTTTTTGTTTGCTTGTTTGTTTGTTTTCAGTAAGTGTGTGTAATATAATGTGTACTCAGTCCAGTTTCTTGATTCTAGAATGAAACTTGTCATTATGACTGATTTTGTTTAAAGAAAAAACATACAGAAAGCATTCTTAGGAGCTTTCAAGTACAAGTGAATAGTCAAGAGCAGGAAATACAGGTAGGCAACCATGAAAATGGGTTATTTTGGGTGTAACAGTTTAAAAAGTTGCAAGAGGGAAAACCCAGACAACCCTCTTCACGCAACTCACTCTAGAACACTTTGCAATCTCACTTGAAGCTCTCACGTTGCCCACATTCTATGAGTGCCTGAACAGAATTTTCAAGAGCGAGTAGTCCGTATTTACTGCACAGCTACCAAAGTGAGTTTTAGTACTGTTTGTGGTTCAAATGCCCATTTATAAACATCACTGACCATCTTCCATTATGAAATATTCTGTATTAATATTGCCTTTTAAATTACTGGTAAATCTGTTTTCTCATGATAATCAGTCATTTCTAAAGCTCAAGCTATAGCATCTAATATATAAATCACTTTAGTGGAGGCAATTATGTTGATTGCAAAATCCATCAGAATACACTGGCTCTAAAAATAAGAGTGTATGTGGCAGTCTGTATTTAGCAAACTGAGGTTATTAATCAGACCCTGTTCCTTGCATATAATTCATCCTTATGTTAAGCAGTTTTCAGCATCCTTGTTAGGGAGTGGCAAGAGTGGGCAGCTCTGCAAGGGGAAGGTAAGCAAGAACTGAGGGTGGGAACAGTACAGGCAGGAGCAATGTCCTTCCTGACAAAGCCTCAAGCGACCAGAAGGTCCAAGGTCAAGCCAGAAAGCCAGGGCAGCATTGGAAAGTGACAGGGCTGATTAGAGGTATATCTACAATGTAGGTCAAGCTGGGGCTAGGGGAAGTAGCTGGGCTTAGGGCCAGCTCTTGAGTGCAGCGGTCCTCAGTAGAGACGCGGCTGGGCTGCTCAGGGATATTACAGCTCCTCAGTATACTGAGGGCCCTGACCAGGACCTTTGTGGAGGTAGATAAACAGAGAACTATGTAGAGAAACAGAAGAGCTTTTAGTTGGAGACCTTTCTTGCAGATTGTACTTCTGAATGAAGCTGTAAAAGCACTGAAAACTTGTACAAACCATGGAGTTATAAAATCAGACACTCTAATGCTCTGAAATGCTGAGGGCTGGTGACTCTGCTTTGAGAGTGAAACTGACTGACATCCTCTCAAGATGCTCAGGGTCAGGCTACAAGACACATGCAGTTACTTCACATGTGGGCACACATACTTTTTGTGCACAGGAGTGGTACTTGTGAAACCATATTTCTGATCTCATTGCTATAGAAGTCAGGAGAATGAAACCTCATTTCTTTGTGTCTTCAAATGTTCTGGCTGAAAATGAGGGCGATTTTCACATTCTTCTTTGCTTTCCAATGTGGTAGTGAATTTTGTTACAGGCAAGCCAAAGAATATAATAACAAGAGTGTAAACTGGTGAGCTCAAATTCCTGAGCTGCTGCCAGCTTCTACTGTGACTGCAAGTAGCTCTTAAACAGATCTTCAAACAGGCACTTCTATAACAAGGATGTAATTGTTAGCACATAGCAATGGCAGTAAACTCAGTTAAAGAGTAGAATTGCCCTTCAGGACTATTTTGTTTTACACTAGTGGATGTGTTGTATTTCCCAAATAAATCTAAATCCTAAATCTTTCTTGGGCATATTCTGCCTTATCCACACTGACACGTAGAAACATTTCTGAAGGCCACAGGTATTATAACCTTTAGACTCCTGGAGAGAAGGGGATCTAGATATTCCGCAGAAAAAAAGGTCTAAAGGTGGTCTTTGATGTTTTTGAGGCTTGGCTAAGACGTGGTCATAATGAAAACCACACATTTTTACATGGGTTATTTGCTATGGAATTGCAGCTAAAAGGGTCATTAAAAGAAACCTCCAGGGAAAATACTGCAATACAGTCACACAGTGAAGACAAGAGTTTTCTTAGAGACAGTATTAAACTAATAGTGTGGCAAGCTCTCCTGCTACTGGCGATTGTTTTGCCATTGTTGAGCATTCTGTGATCTGAAGATGCTCTTTGGTGGGTTTTGTTTGCTGTCTTTTTTTTTTTTCCTTTGTTGGTTCGTTGGTTTGTTTTTTTTTTCTGTTCAGATGGTATTAGACTAGTTAAACTAGACAAAATTTGACCACTGTAATTCTTAGAACTGTCTACACATTTCTATTAAATATGCATTTTCGTGTTAATATTTTCAAGGGGTTTCGGGATTTTTTTTCTTGTTCAATTAAATAGCCAATTTTGAAGGAAAAGAGAGAAATGCTTCATTGTAAAAGGAGCTAAATGATAAAGTACATCTCTCTCCTCAGTATTCTCTTACTGCTGCACTGATTGTGGATGTGACCTAGATACAAATGGTCCAGAATTCATCTCCTCATCTTTTTGTGTCTTTTCAGTATGCATGCCAATGCATTATTGTAAGTGTATGCTAATATTAAAGTGCATGAAACTGAGGCTATAGAAACTGTTTTGTCTGCTATACTTGGTGTGTGATGTGGATTTTTAACTGTATTTTTAGATTTTGTATACACAGAAATTGCTTTGGGAGAATATAATAGTATACTGGAGAAAGACACCGTGGCTTCTTATGGGAGTGAAAAATGAAAAAAATATGAAAGAAAATAGACCAAATAGCACACATAAAATGGGGGGGGGAGGGAACACAAAAACTGCATTAAAATGTAACTTCATTTTACATCAAGTAACACCTGTAACCGCAGCTGGAGTTATTGCAAGTGCTTATCATCATTTCCACTGAAAAAGCATCCACTGGATTGGGTTTGCATGTATTTTCAGGTAACTCGTCAGAAAAACGCTTCCATGGAGTTGCAAAATATAATTGGTTTAACTATCTTAATTTCAGTGCTGTGATGAGCACTTCCTTTTTTTCCTAGCGATTCCAGGAGTTAGATTCCTGAGTTTATTCCTCTTTGCTCCTGTAGTGGAAAAACTGGAAGCCAGGAAGCAGGAACATTCCTAACTACAATCAGAAAATATGGATCAGCTCTTTTTGCTGGTCGCAGAGACTGTGGCTAAGTTAAGGTTTTCTTACCTACACTGATCAAAAGATTCCTCCACCTCACACATGCGAATGTGCTCTGACGTAATGAAGTGGATAAATACTGCACAAGGAATTGTGCTACATTCATTGTCTTACTGATTGGGGAAGCTGTACTATCTTCAGAGTTGATATGAACTATATGTTGCTAAATAAAATCAGTTGGAAATTTACTTCATTCAAGGGTAATGGAGTGCATAAAGAATTTGGGATCAAGCAATGTGAGGCAAAACACTGTGCTGTTTGTGTAGTTTTAAGTTTCATTCGTTTTCATCCCTGCATCCTTTCAGTATTTAGCTGTTGGTTTAACTGTCAGTATGGCATTTTATTAGTTGAAATTCTGCTCTGTCTGAATGAAGTGAAGGCAGAAAGCTCTGCTGAAGGATTTTGGATCTAGATAATAAATGAAAGGATATTTTTTCTCATATCTATTCCATTATACATATTTTTTTTCCTCACGTTATTGCAGACTAATCTGTATGAGACTTGAATTTTATCTGGCATTAATTTTAAATTAAAATCTTCTTAGGCTGAAATTTTGTGATTTCAAAATATTAAGTAAAACTAAATAAAACCACGTATACAGGCTTAAAAACCTTTTTGACTAATATCACAGCAGCTCCTGATAAAACTTGTACATATTATGAGTTATACACCCAGATTTTAAAAAAATGTTTTTGCCATTTTTTCATTAATGTGCTAGTTCCCTGGCCATAAAACAATCTCATCCCAAGTATCTCATGCATTTTATATATGATGTCTGTTGCATAAAGCAGATTTCATAATTATTCAATGAATCTCTGTATCTGACCCATTGTTTTAATTACAATACTGGTAGCATTGATCCTGTATTTAAAGCTAATTAGAATAGGCAATGTAAACAAACAAAAATGTAAACAAACAAATCTAGCAGTAAAATAGAGAAGAAGCCTCTAGATTTCTGGTGTGCTGTAAGATAGCAAATTCTGTGTTATCTTATTCTGTTCCAGCCGTTTACCTGTGTAAGAGGACAATGCAAAACAAAGCAAGGCTAGAGCTAGCAGACTATGAAGCTGTAAGTACCTGTGGAAAAGTAAATTTCTCTGCTGGGCCTAATGAGCATGCGAAATAATGTTAAACATGAGAACTATAGGCATTATGCATGAAAATTTATTAGCTACCCACTTCTGCCAGCATGTGGGGCTGACAGTGCTCAGTAGAACATTAATGCTGTTTGAGAGATTGTAGTGAAGGCTAGCTGGGCAAAAATTGAGATTTTGGTCCATCTCTAGTCTTACTCTGCTCAGATTGCCATGCCAGGATCAGAAATAGCTGTCCACAAACCCAGATACACCATGAGTGTTTGAAAGGAATTGTGTCCTATACCATGCAAGGTTTGAATGAAGGATCTCTGGCAATGTTTTCAAAAGCACTTGGTAACTGTAGAAATACAAATCCAATTCTTTAAAGTGATGCTGGCACTCGAGCCTTTGTCCCATGAGTTAGACAGACGCAAAGAGGGTCAGAGCAAAGGGACTTCCCCCTCCCTGGAAGGTGTTCTGTGCCCCAGGCAAGGTAAGATAATTGGGGCCAGCAAAAGCTGGAAAAAGAGAGAGGTTGATTAGCTGATGAAGATGGCACTCACTAGGGAGAGTGCCTTGAATTCCATCCCTATGCCCCCAAAAGTTCCTGAATTTTTTATGAAAATGTCAAGAAAATTCATGAACATCCCTGGCTCTGTGCTGAAAGCTGTCCAGCTGTGCTACTGTGACAGGATGGCAGGATCGTCAGCCCGGCCTCTCAACATGGCAAATACTCCAGCCGCAGCACCATGCCGACACGCTCTATTGCGTCCTCTGGCACAAACTTGCTTTTCAGTGTACTGCACTGTGGGGTATGCATAATTTTATACTTACACGCATTAGAAAATTCACCTCCATTATACAATCCACGAGACCCTTTACTGGTATCAGCAAGATCTCTAGAAAACCTCCTCTTCGCTCTGCAGTCTTCATTTTCAGTAAGTATGTCACAGAGGTACATTTGCAATGCATAAAAATATAGTTAAGGCAAGACCTTTTGTTAGGAAGTTTACAGTTTTTCAATATGTCTTTTAGTCTCAGTAAAAGCAGTGCACAAAAGCAACTGGGGTCTTTTTGGAGGAAGATATGTGCCTCAGCCTTCTCCATGTTAACAAACTGCATACTGCTGCCATGTGGGCTGGATAGAGATTGGAAAAACTCTGTTACAGACAGTAAAGCTGTTCCAGCATCACTAGAAGAAAGGATTTTGCTAAGATTATACAAATCATCTTCCTGTTATTAGTAGTAGGCTGTAAGATATACGCATTTCCTGCACAGTTTTGAAGAATTGTAGTCTGCATTTTTCAAAAATGAGGATAGCTGTTGAGTAATTGAAAGATTCCTATACTTCCAATATGTTGATAGCTTCTTATTATAGTATTTTAAATAAATTGATAGGCAAACAACTCTGCTCAATGCAAACATTTTGTATACATGAATGACGGGAATCGTCATATGGATTGTTGACTGTGGAAAGCACTGTTGTTACCTTTCAGTATTAGGTTCAAAACAAGAATGTTTCTTTGTGTTATTACAGAATTACTTAGCCAGCACCCAGTATATAAAAAAGCTTTAGAAATCCCATGTTCTGCTGAAGGTTTCATCCACTCGTGTCATCAGAGTTTAAAAATTAAAATAATTGGGGCATTTAAAAGTAGATAGTTCTAGTATTCTATCCAGTTTGGTGTCAAGAAAAGACTTTATATTGGATACAGTAAGGTAGGTTTACATTGACACAGATATCATGACTTGTGTTACATCATGGGGGAGGGAAATGAGGGAAAAATAAAAAGCTATAAATTGTCAATATCTTACAGCCTAATCCACTAAATTTGCAATGTATTTTCAGGAGAGTTTGGCCAGGCTACAGCGAGCATTTGCTCGGAAATGGGAGTTTATATTTATGCAAGCTGAAGCACAAGCAAAGTAAGTTCCTTTGAAGATAAGGAGTTTGGGGATTGCAAGCTTTTTGAAAGGAGAAGGGGAGTAGAAAGTGATTGGACACTTCTGTTTAAAATACTGTCATTCACACTGTTTCTTTTAAATATTCTATAACATTAACAGAGTCGACAAGAAGAGAGACAAGATAGAGAGGAAGATTCTTGACAGCCAGGAGCGAGCATTCTGGGATGTGCACCGACCGGTGGTGAGTGCTGGTGGGACCACTGATGAATGTCAGCCTCTGGGGAGCACTTGGGGTAGCTTGGGAACAAATAAAAGGGCTGTAGGACTGGGGGTTGTGGCCCGCTTCCCTTTTTTTAGAGGATCTGTGGTTTGTATCATTCTACTATTGAAGACTGAAGATGTGTGTACACTCAGTTTAGGCTTTTCAGTGAATAGTTTTGTTGTGTCTGATTTCTTGAATCAGAAGATACCTGTCTTTGCCTATTACCATCTCAAAGGTTTCCCAAGGTATGAGTCACACAACCAAAATTATCAGCATAGCTAAAAATAATTTTAAATAAAACCAAGTTGTTTTTTTTTTTTTTAATTTACTTTTTATCTTGCTAAGTCTTTCAACTTCACTGCGGTCATATTTCCAAGCTATTTTTAATGTGCATCAATGTTAGATATTGTCGGTTTTGAGCTGTGGGAGTCATAAACTGTCTAAACAAGATTTATTTGAGATCCTTGTCAAAGTTTATCTGAAACAAAATTTTTAAAAAAGAAAGGGTCTTACATAATCAACTAGTGTGGTAAGCAAGTGCCCACAATTTCTTCCTAGGTTTTCAGACTGAGCTGATGCTTGCAGAACCAGAGAAAGTGGATTTAGAGAGTTTTTTTCAAATAGTCATCTCTTCCTCAGTTTTCTCTTGAGACAGTTAAGAGAACGGTTTTGATATCTTACTGATCAGTATCCATTCCAATATTTAGTTAATTGCGGTTTCAATATGTATTTATTTTTTTTATTTTTTTGTGTATTTTGGTGTAATTTGGGGTGCAATCTTGGTTCTTTCTGTAAATTCCATCCGCTGCTTTATGTAGAAAGATCTTAACCTGCAGCTAGAAAGAGCATGACTGAGCTTCAGCTGTAGGTACTGCAGCCTGCAGAGCCATTCCTGACCAACTTTTCATCTTACTAGTTCAGATACCACTCATAGTAAAACCATAGACATGTTTTAGGAAGAGCTGTACAAACTCCCTTGAGTTCCTGAGCAGCAGCCCTAGGATAAAGTCCATGCCATCATTTCTGAAGGCACAGCCAGTATCGAACTTACGTCTGAGATTAGTATTATTCACATATAGTAACAAATTTCTCTTGTTTGATGGCAGAGTAAACTTATCATAAAAGCCTTCCTTTTTTTTGGACCTTCCTAAGAAGTGTATAATTTTCCTAATTTTTAAACTTCTCTTGATAACAGACTATGGACCTGAGCGAAAGTTGGTTAGGAGATTTAGGGCATTACTCAGAAAGCAGTAACAATTTCAGCTAAATTGGGGAAGTCAGTTCCTTCAAGGCAAAAGAAATTAAGAAGCTTCTCTTGTTCGAAAAGAAATGCTATGCTCCTGATTAAAGTCTTCATAAAAGAACTCATAGTTTTCCTGAATTATTATCTCTGTTTAAAACCCATAATCTTATGCTTGTTAAAAAGGAACAAACAGGTACTAAAACAGTAAATCCCCTGAAACATTCTTAAGCCTGCATCAGATGCCATAGGAGCGCAGTAGCTATGGCTTGCTGTAAAATTAACTCTTCGAGGTAGTGATCAGGGACATCTCGTGTCTTGCTGCTACAAACAATTATTTTTTTCTTCTGGAGTTACACATTAATATGAATTAAATGAAATGCATAATAAAAGCCTTCTGAATACTTGATGAGATTCAGATTTATTCAGAACATAATTGGGGAAGTATCCTTTTCTCCTAAAAGTCATTTGTATACTTCTTAACTATAATAATTTGAAAAAAAAATAATATCCTCCTGTGCCTCTGACCTTTGTCATCAGTCAGAATGTTGGTTCTCTTGCAGTCATATTTAGCAGGTTCGTGTGCAGATGTTTTTAAAAGGAAGATGGCAAACCTGTAACAGCTTTCTAAGATGAGCTAGAAAACTACACTAGTGCATGTCCTTCTTTGACATCTAAACTCTGGGACTTCTGTTCCCATTGCTACCACCTGTTTGCTGAATGATGGTGATCTTTTTGCTGCTTTGTGAAAAAAGTGAATAGCAAATAGTGATAAGGGTTAGGCTTGCTAATCTTAAAGGTCTTTCACAATCTAATTGATTCTATTATTCTATGAAAAACAAAGCAGATATTTGTATGATTTAATTCAGCAAGACAAAGTATCCAGGTTGGGTATGTCTGGTATGGACAGCAGCAATGTTAAGTGCAAGTGTGCTTTTAAGATAATTTACTAATGATGTAAAATTCAGGAATATGTATGGTTTTGGGATTTGGGGGTTTCATGCCATTGTTTCTTTGTAGCAAACTAGAAAAACAGTAATCTTTAGGTTTTTTAAACCTCGTCACATATACCACACCTTTTGATCCTCTCTCTTTTTAGATTTTTTTAATGAGATTCTATCTCCATTAGTGTAATTTTATCTGTTTATATTTTAAAGTTGTATTTTATGTGGTCTGAACATGACCCTTAGCATCTGAACCACTATGTAATATTACCATGTGTCGAGGATCATGCGGTGGATACTTGCGGTTATTTGTTCAGGGTTTTCTTTCTTTCACTGGTTTTGTTTTTAATGACTTTTCCATCCTGTCCTTCAAGATTAGCCTCAAACACTCGGCAAAAGACTGAATTTAACTTGGCTAAGGAGACGCAATCCTTCATTTCATGCTTTGTGTGCTACAAATCCTAGACTTTTCTGGGCCAATCACTTGTTTAGCCAGAGAACACTCCTGTCTGCTTTATCATAATATTTTCAGAAAGTTTTTAAACATCTCCAGGAAGCGAATATGAATCATGCTATCCAGCTTCTCTAGTGATGTATCCACATACAATATTCATGTTGTCTTTTGCACCTGTTTCACCGTGTACCCTCACAAGGGAGTTACCTCTCCAGCAGACAGGGAATGAAGCCAAAGCAGCAATTGTCACTCTCAGATAATTGCAGTTCTGGTAATGAAACACAGCCTTGTACAATGTTTTATTTTCAGGAAGTACTTTATCTGTTTGAGGGTGATTCTTATAAACCTTATAGCTACCTTGCTAAATAAGACCTTTGCGGAAGAATTTGCACTCACATCATTTAGCAGTGTTACTTAGTCTGATACCTGAGTAAGGGTGAGACAAATGGGGGGGGGGGAAACTTTCTTAAAACAGTGCAACACACTGAAAGTGCTCAAGTTAAAACTAAGGATTGAAGAGGTCAGAAACTGTGAGACAGCTAACTGATGTGATTGTGGAAAGACATCAAAAAATGAGATGACACTGGGTTTTAGTAAGACCCAGTTCTGGTAGCAGCTAGGAAAATAAGCTGAAGTAGCAAGGATGAGGAATTTTTTGTACTAAGTGCAATGTTTATGCATTGATTTTTGTTTCTGTGTGAATTAAATTGACTGCTTTAATCCAAAGCATTCTGTCTTATAAGATCTTACAAGTCAAAAGGCAGATAATAAATTTCTAAAGGTCAGCTATATTTGCCATCAACATTTTCAGAAATGTGTGGTCAGACTTGCCTGGTGTTACTTCTTTTCAAGTGAATAACCTAAATTCTTCTGTATGAAATCTGTAAAACAATTTTCCTACCTTCTGGAATTAAGACATTTGAGAAAGCAATGACTCTGAGTACTTAGCATAAAGGCAACAACCAGATCAATATAACAGGGTTCCCTACGCAACAGTGTTGCAAATACTGGAATCTTCACATACACAAAAATCACATTAATACAGCTGTAATTAAAAATTAATATCACTACTTGAATAAATGCAGTAAATCTACGTTCTGTACAATAATTTATGGTTCTGAAAACCAATCACTACAAACTTAAAATTGTCTTTTGTAAATTAAGAGTAATTAGAGATGAAATTAACTTTCAAAAAGAATGAATTAACTTTCAAAAAGAACGAAGCCTATAACGTCCATCTAGTAGTATATTCTTCTGACACACACACCACTAAAAGTTTAAAAAAACCACAAAACCCCCTCAACAAAACAAACAAAACCCACAAAAAAAACCCAAACCAAACAAACCAAAAAAACCCAAAAAACACAAGAAACTAAACCACCAAACCCAAACAGTATAGTAAGATCCTGTTCTCTGAAGGAGAATGCCCAGCTTTCCACTAGGACAGTCCTAGTATGTGAGAACATGAAAATCCCTGTCAAGTTTCAAGATGCTCTATCTCCTATGAATTAATTTTATGGTTTAATTTATTAGTACTATATTTCTTGCAAATCTCTCTGTATCTCTTTTTCCCCTGTTCCAAACAGGTCCTTGATTTACACAGCCACGGGAATTCCTTGTGTGTCTGATGTTACTCAGGGAAAAGACCTGAGCTCTAGTTTGGGAATACAAATAGGGATAAACAGGAAACTGGTACACTTTTTTTTTTTTTTAAAGATGCTGAAAACATTTGGAATTTTAAACGATCCTAAGTTCCATGCTAAGTGAGTTTTCCCATCTTGTAGTTTGAAAACCATCTGAGTTTTGCCATGCTGCAAACATATTTAGAGCTTGATCAAATTAATTGCTCAAATGTCTCCTCTTTGTCTGATGGTCTTTGAAGTTCATTTGTCTTGCCCAAACAAAAGAAACAACCTGTAGTTAAATTTTTATCCCTTAATTGCACACCTTGCCATGTTTTGATAAAGTGCACTGCAGAACACAAGTGGAACTGATGCTATTTTGATAGTAGTCACTGATCTTCAAATAATTCCCTGAATAAAGCATATATTGCTTTTACTGATTGAGCAGATGGCAAGTTTTCTGTCCTTCACATGAAGATGCCTATAGTGGGTTTAACTTATGCTTAAATGCTTATGCCTTTCTCTGCTGTTGGTCAAGAATTCATTATTTCTTCATCAATATATTTCTAGCGGATTACACAATCAAGTTTATTGCTCATTCATTTCAGTTTAATAAATAAGTGTGGAATTTATTTATCTCTGTTCTGTAATGAGTCAAAACAAAATTAATTAATGAGGACATGTATTCAGCACTTAAATTAATTCTCTGCTACCTGCAT